ATTTTCTCTTTTGCACTTCTGTTTGTAATCCAAAAGTGGATTGGTTCCTCCCACCTTAAATCTACCAGTTTGCAACCTGAAGAAGGTCTGAAAATCAGGGAATCAGACTCTTCCAAAACATCTGAACTATTTCCACACACATTAATGCTTCAATCGCAGTTCAATTCAAATCTGGTACAGTGAATCAGATCAGGAAACAAATAAAATTCAAAGCTCACCCTGCTCTAATACTGCCAGAAGGATGTCATGTAAATTATGTTCTCTTGTACCTCTTTCCATTGAGCACCCAGGAAAAAACTCACAAGATTTTCTAGGAAACTGCTTACATTTAACATAAAATAATGAGACCAACACTTGAAACAAAGCCTTTTTCCATTAAAAGCACTTTTCCATATTACTATAATTTAATGATGAAAAAAGTAATCAGTGAGCAATTCAAAGAAAGACAGTAGTCCCCATTTCTTTTCTAAAGCACAGTCTTTTCCAAGTAACAAATCAGTAATTTGATTAGAGTTCTTAGCTCAAGGCAAGAAATGTAAATATATACGTAAGAGATGACTACAGAATCCTTCTCTGATTTGCATTCCCATAAGCTCAGCTGGAATTTTCATGATGGAAATTCTGGAAGACGTCAGATGGACTCTGCTTTCAATGCCCATCAGAATATGATTTAAGAATTTGGAGCACATGTACAATTTGCAATTTGTACATTATATGATGGTCCTTTATTAGCTTTGAATGTGCATATTGGAGCGTCAGGCAGGAATGGAACATTTAACTGGATAGTGTCTTACACCAAAATACACATCTATTAAATGTCCAATTTCTTCACCAAAATTCCTCTTTTTTTGTCTCAGAGGGGCTTAGCTTGTTGAGATATGGAAATGTAAATGTTATGCATGTCTTCAGGCTGCAAGAATCTTACACAAGCCAAATTTTGTTGTTTGTTCAGGCCAATTCACTGAGCTCTTTTTTCTCCTTTCACTTATGCTCTGAAATCTCTTAGAACAGTATCTTTTTTTTATGAAGGGATGTTAGAACTATGATACCTGCTCTTAGCTTTTGAATTATTTTCATCAATCCTGTGAAATGGAATGGAACACAGCCCTAAGTTTAAAAATGAAAATTCTATTATCTCCAAGTAGTTGCACACATATGTAAGTGTGTGTTGAATTAATCAAAAATGCAGGGCGGGCAGAAATTTCAGTTCCCCTATGGCAGCATATATGTGTTTGTGAAAGCCCAGGAGCAGTTAACATTAGTTGCTCAAAAAATGAAGGAAATTTCTGCTTAAGGGAGTTTTCAGCAAATCACTGTTTGTTTTTACCACAGCCACTTGTAGATACAAGTACATCTTGCACTCATGGATTCCCAGATCACTTATTTTACAGGGAAAAGAGACCTGAATAGAAAACCTCATTACTCTGTGTTATGAAATTCAAGACTGCTTTAAAAGTCACCTGAAAGGGTATTAGTTGTGTGTGTGTGTGTATTTAGCTGTGTGTGATAAAAGGATAGAAAGGACAAGGATAAAAAGGTATATGGCCTAAAAGCTTAATAGCACTCAAACTTAACAGCACTTAAACTTTACTTGTACCTTAAACTTGACAATTTAGCAGTGGAACAACATTTAACAGCATTTAACATAATTTAAATTATACCTTAAACTTAGCAATTTAGCAAAGGGATAATACTCAACAGCATTTAACTCAGCTTATGATTTAAATTAAAGTTATTTAGAGGCCTAACTTATTTAGATATCTAAAACACCAAAGACAGCACCTTTTCTCCCATTTTGCCACAGCATATGCACACTTGTATGCACACAGACATAAAGAGTCAGTGCAAGGTACCTGTGAAAAGGTCCCCTCGAAGGTAACAACATACTCACTTTGAATGCCTTTGCATCTCCTCACTGAGCAAAGGGGTCTCGAGGAGGGGGTTATCAGCCCAGGATCCATTGTTGTTTGGTGATCTCTGAGTGCAGCAAAACGAAAGTTTGCTGGCTCTGAGAGGCCCCTCTCAGAGGGAGGGTGCTGGTCTCACCCCAGGAGAGCTCCGAGGCTCTCATTTTGGACCGCTGTTTATCGGCTGCAATTGAGGGGGCCTTCATCCAATGTTCCGTCCTGGCCACACTTCAGATCAGCACCCTTTCTTTGAAGGTGTGAGAATAAGGATGTTACACCATTCAGGCCAGAAAATAGTTTCCAAGGATGTTCACAAAACATCCAGGAGCTCGTTAGGCAGCACAAGTTTATGGGAGCTCTCTGTTTCTGATTAGCTCAAGAGGAACTGGGCCCTGGTGCTGCTTGTCAAGGCCAAGGCCTACGAGCATTACTCAGACCACAGTGAGGCCTGGAAAGGGAGGGGGTGGTGGATAAACCACCACAGCCAGTAAAAATCAGCCTCAATGGTCTAAGAGGAAAGAGCTACCAAGTCGTTTTTCAGCCTTGTCCGAACAAATGCTAAGATCCCACTGCGTAAGAATAAGGCTTGAAATAACTTGCACCCTCAGAAGTGAGAAGAGAGTTGTAAGGGCAGATGAACGTGACACACAGCCTTGGTACAGAGCCCAGGGAACAAAAGGGTCAGAGGAAAAATAAAGGGAAGAAGATAGACTATTGTATAACTGTGCACAAGTACAAGAGACAAGTAGTACAAAGGGATTTAACTAATTAATTAGTGTAGCTTTCCTTAATTATCCGTTGCTTTATCTCAGCATGCAACTACATGTTTCTTCATCATTTATGCTGGACACCACCACAATTTTCAACCCCTAGGCAGGCAAGATCATCAGAGTCTTCAGTGTTTGATACCTTCCTTCCAATCAGAGGCAGGAGCATAAGGACACATTATGTATCCCTAAAAGCATCCAATCACTTTGCTTTACCAAAACAATTTCATACAACCTCCATAGCCTTGGTTTTCGATAATACCTCAGCTAACCTTATTACATGTGTATGATGCTAAGTTTTTCTTTTGGAATCTCTTCAGACATCAGTCACAAAGCTGATGCAGTTTAATTGACACAGCTTGCACTGAATTAATTATTTTTTTTTTCTTGCCTGTTCCTCCTGGGCACAATATGGAAATTTAAAGGAGGATGATCCACAGGTTCTATTCATTTAACATAGAAAGAGTTAAGTGCAGCAACTAACATAATATGCAAACAGCTATTCACTGTAGTTTGCATCTTTGTGATTACTGGTTGGGCTTTTACAATCAAAGCATTCTATCCACAGCTAAGATAAATGGAAAATCCTATTGCGTTTTTGTGGCTTTCCTGGACACCCACAACTTTATCTTTTTCTGAGTATATACCTTAAGAGCAATACTATCATCCTGATTTTAGTTTTATTCATGCCTATACACAGATGATACTTGTGAAATGTTACATACAACTTTAAGACAGCATCTTGAAAATATGCCTAATAATTTTTTATAAAATATAAAAGTTATAAAACCCTCCAAGCATTAGTAATAAGTGACTAATCACATCTGATGCCTAAATTTTCAGTGCTGAAATTATTGCCGTGCAAAGATATAGTCATTCTTCTGTTTTCCAAAAATGAAAATGTAAGGATTCAATCAGCCATACATAATAGCAGACCTGGCAATTCTTGAACAGATTTTCTCCTTTATGTATCAAGACATGAGACATAATGTTTACTACAAATTCCATTTTCCTTGACACAAGATTTTGCCATGCAGAAAGAGCACAAAAAATATTTACTTCAATGTCTTTTATTGAGAGGCTATTTTTTCCCACACATTTTAAATTAATAAATAGCTTTATTTATTGATTTATTGATTTATTTACACAGAGAAAATACACTTAGCTTGCATAGTTCCCTCTTTGTCTCTGTCTCACATGCACACACACATGCTCATAGTAACCTATAATTGAATTACAAAAGGAAAACAGTTTTAAATTATTAGCAATAAACAATCACTAGTACTGAAGGAAGAAAATATGCAAACAATGCAAGCAGCAGTAGAATGTTGACTAATGAGTGATTTGCATCCCTCAGATCACATTTGACATCCCTTTCTTAAGCTAAAACTGTGGTGTTATGCTGGTTTGGTCTGGAGAAATTGTGGGTCTGGAGAACAGCTACCAGAGAGACCTGGACCACTGTTTTTAATTTGTGCCTTCAAATTCAGGCATGAAAGATTTAAATATTCAGAGGAAAAGTTTAGAAATCTTATCTTACAAAAAAGGATAAACACGGACATACGCATCACCTGGTTCCTACTGAAACTTGGATCATTTTGATCTTGAGAATTGAGATGCTGGAATATAATTAAAAACTAGATGTTTCCTCACAATTCTCTCAAGCAAAGGTCAGAGCATAATCTGCCATAATTTATGCAAATTTTAGTGTCCACTGGATCAGTTGTTCCAGTTAGCTGACTGCACACTTACCATGAAATTCTGAACAGTGACCTCAAGTGAATTTTAATACACACGGTTTGAATAAATAGCGATTTCATGATTATTTGGAAATAAACTTGAGGGGGAAAAAAAGTAACAGAGAATCATATAAAACAATTTTTTTAATTATTAAGGAAAAATGGTACAGAAAGCAACAATAGTCACAAAAAAACCCTGTCTAGATGTATGTATAAATGAAAATGTCTCAGAGGAAGTGTACTGAAACCATCTGCCCCAGACTACAGTTGAAAGATGTCATTAAAACTTTACTTTCAGTTTGTTGGACTCTTCATCCAATGGGTTATAAGATCAAAACACAGTTTATTCTGAAACTGAATAACATCTTATCTTTTCTTACAATAAAAATCATATTGGTTTGCACTTGAAGTCTCCCTGAAACCAAATTTTGTCAAATATTATTATTTCTCTAGAGTCTACTTTCTTCAAGTAATACTTTTGCTGAAAAATTTCTGACTGACACTTCTCCAAAAGCATTTGGTCTCACAAGACAGTAAATATATGACTAGCTTTTGGAAGGTTTTGACAAATACATTCATAAAGATAACACATAATTTAAGATGTCTGTTTAAACCATTGTCAGTTTGAGATACCAAGACTAATCCATCTCAAAGCTCAGGTTTGTCTTAACCACAGGATACATCTCATTTCTCTGAAACTCAAAATCCCTCCAGCACAGCCTGAGTAAGGAAGAAAGTGGTTTCCTTCCTAACTGCTTGTTTTCCTTCAGACAGCCCCGTTGTTACCTTAAAACTTAGTGTATTACCCTCATCTCTTAACTCCATCTATGTTTTGTTTAAAGATAATGGCAGTTCAAAGGTACATGTACTTATACAGCCTAAAAAACATTTTGAAGCAGTCTGTATTAACTACAGACCACAAGACATGTATTTGGTGTGCTTATCTTACTTTCACAGACGTATGGGACTGACAGTCATAAGACCTAGAAGAAGCCTTTAGAAATGTGTACAGCCTTCTGTACAAAAGGGGTTCATACTCTGAACTGAAACAATCAGGCAAGAGTGGTTTGTCTCTGAGTTATCTTGCAGTGAGTGATGTACTTTGAAATTCTGTGTTGCAATGCGCAGCAGTAAAGGTATAAATTTCCCACAGATACAAAAGAACTGTGCTCAGAGGGATTGGAGGTAAAGATTACTGCTGCAAGCTGAAATCATGGGACAGGAGAGTGTCCTGTGGGACACATGATGGCTTTTGGATCAACTCTGGTTCTGCATTTCTGTCATAAAAGACCACACAGCCTTTTCATTTTGCATGAATGAGCAGGGCCTGTGTGTGTGATACCATAAACCAGATCAAAGAAAGAAATGGGTAGGTGCTGAGAGGCAAGTGAAACTCTCCTAAGAATACATAAAAGAAGACTCAGTTCTGCAGATTCACAAGAACAGAAAAACTCAGAACATCAAGACTCTCAAGTCCCTCAAGGCCACAAGCAGATCATGATACCAGGTAAGAGTCAGTGAGTGTCTGAGTGTGAGGCAATAACTGAAAGTAATGTGTGAATTGTTATCTGCTATTAATAATAACAGCTTGATTCTACTAATAGTCTACCTAGTAAGAAGCGATCTAATATACATTAATTGTGATCTTTTTCTCTCCTGACTTGAATACAAACCAGTAAAATTTACAAATTTACCCATGAAACCATCACATCCTTGCTTGACTCTCTAGGACTAGTACAGGCTCATTAGTGGTTGCCTGCCTGAGTCCCATCTGTACCTCACTGACCAATAAATATTCCACTAATCCTGCTCATTGTCCCTTCACTGACCTGCCTACTTTGCATTGTGTTGATAATAGTATAGGGAAGTCTGAGATGTTGCATATCCTCAGGGCAGAGTTTGTTGTCAAGTACCAGATTAAAATGCCCTGTGGTCACTATGAAATAAGGCCTTTCTGTCTGCTCTACAGCAATCTGCTCTTGTATCTGCAGCAAAAGGATGATTTATTCAGAGGATCTGTTGTGGTAATTCCTGAACAATGGAAAAGGGATTTAAGGGGACCACTGGAGTCATCAAATCCACACTTGTGTTAACTGAATGAAACATGCCCAATAGTTCCTTTCAGTGACCTTGGTCATTACTGCAGAAGTTTTCTGTCACCATTTTTCCTCAGAGCTAATTCCAGGCCCTTATTTTTCTCATTCCTTGTGATATCCAGTCTTAAATGTCTCATAACAACTTTATGCTTTTCTTTATATTATATAGTCTTTGTTCCAGTTTGTGTTGACCTGTCTCAAAATACTTAGAAGCAGAAGTTTGTTCTTTGTTAGGCTGACAACTTTTTGAAGTCTCTTCATTACCTTTTGACTGTAAAATGGACTTTGTACTCATCTGATCATCCCTGAAGACATTCTTTGTATTGTTCCAATTCTAGCACATCATTCTGGTAAGCAAAGTGTTGTGTTCAGTTTCTTAAGCAAAATATCTCAGTTGTTCTGCTGTTTCCTGTTTGATTTTCCCAGAATCATAGCGCCACTTTAGTTAGAAAAGATGTTAATATCATCAAGTCCAACCATTAACCTAGCACAAAACCTAAGGGCCTGTGGAAACCTATGTTTGTCATCTACATATCTTTGAAATAAATGTGTGGGTGGCAACTCAGTCACTTTCCCAGGGAGTCTGTCCCAGTGCTTGACAACTCTGTCAGTGAAGAATTTTTTCCCAATGTCTCACCTGAGCCTCATCAAGCACAACGTGAGGTAATTTTCTTTCATGCTGTCTCTTCTAACACTCATGGGCACTGGCACATACCCGTCTACAAAGACACAGTGCCCATAGAAGAGGCACTGGTCATCAAGGGCTTGTACACTGAGAAACAGATCTTATTCTACAGCTTCCTGGAGTGGGTTTAAAACAACAGTGAGAATTCAGTTGGTGGACACCAATCAGCAAAGACTAGTGCTAAGTGAAACCACTGAACTTCAGTATAGGAGCCAACATGATAATGCATACCTTACCTATCTCTCATTAGCACATCTGTAGTGGGATTTTCCCCACTTTGACCACATTTCCAATGGAGTTTCTGGTTTTCAGAGGTCTGTATCACATAGCAGAAGCAGGATGCTCTGCAAGGGAAGGTCAGCCAGTAACTGAAGCTGACAGCAAACTAGGCATGAAACACGATCCTCACAAGAGTTGCAGTTCCATAATACCTGAAAATAAAACCCCTCCAGAATAGGTCAGCAACAGCAGCAATGTTAAGGCAGTAATCCAGGCAATCCAGACAAAACCAAGATCAAGCCATAAAGTCAAGTCAGCAGATCAGGGTCAGATATCAGCAAAGTTCATGGCCAGACTTCAGCCTGGCTGCCCTGTAGCTCTAGCAGAGACCATAGGCGAGTGGCTGAGTGGCTGAGCTCCTGAGCAAAGAACAGGCAGCCTCCAGCCAGACTCTCTGCTCTTCCTCTCAGCTCTTTCTGCAGCAGTCTGACCCAAGGCTGTCCTGCTGCAAAGTTACACAGAACTTGAACAAGCAAAGCCAAATGAGAAGAGGAAGAGGTTGCAAAGATTGGTGTTCTAAGGACTCAACAGCATGGATGTTACTGAACTCGGGATTCTGGATAAAGAACAGATAGATGCCACCAGAGAAAAGGAGGATGCTGTCATTCTCATCCCATCACTCATAACAGTAAATTTAGACTGGTGTGAACAGCATTCTGCAACTTGTTCCAGTTGTCAGAATGAGCCAAGTAGCCATTTTTAATTAACAGTAGCTTTTATTTCCCTAAAATTGGCATTCTACGGTAAATGAGAGAGGGAGTAGAACTGCCAGCAGTGGTCCCCTAAAACAAAAAGAAACACAGCAGAGGAAACATGAAGGCCTGTAATGCAAACCCTAAGGAAGATTTATTTTAAGAGCTTCTGCCCAAAAAGTTTTGACCAAATAAGGAAGCCTTAAGCCTGCCCCAAAGACAGAGAGGGTATAGCTTTTTACTTACCGAACCACCTCTAGTTATAAACACCATTTCCGTTGATTGGAGTAAAATTCATCCCAATGAGACCAATAAGCTACAAATTAAAGGAATTTTCTTTGCCTTTTTTTCTTCTGAAGTGATTAATAAATGACCAGTGTTCTGCACGTTAATATTCCTTTGTCAGGTGGGAAATAACACCTTGCGCACAGCTCTGCCTGTGCCACCAGTGTTGCTCCCTCAGTAAAACAATTCCAATGATGACATCAGGTACATAATCATTCTTCATATAAGGTCACAAGTACACTTTTTGAATTTTATTGGACGTTTTGGTTCCTTCAGATTGGAGATGAATCTTCTGATAATGTCTAAAAAGGTGAAGAATATTTCTATTGGTTCCTTCAGGTAGCTCATGCTAGCACGTGAATCTATATATTTCCTCCTTTGCAGTCATTTGTGAGATACAGGAATGCCCAGCCAGAGTTTTATCTAGGCAGTGCCTGGAGAGTGAAGTTTCATCCATCTGCGGTCAGGATGGCAGCAAAACGACATCTTTCAGCTCCAGTGCTGTGGCTGATTCTCCTCTCCATTCAGCTCTCCCTGGGTAAGTACATACTTTATTTCGCATAAGGCAGTGAGATAAAAAAAGTATGCGAATTTCATATAAATAGGTTGTTATTCTACCAACCTCTAAAGCAAAGTGACAAAAAGGTGTTTAAATATGTTTCTGGTTTTGATTCAATCTCCTTGGTAATCCTGAGATAAGGAAGGATAAGTCTTTTTTAAAAGTTTTGTATTTTACTCAGATATCAGTGACTGGCCATTCTCAAAAGAATTCAAGTCCGAATTTTGTAAACAGTTTAGCTGTACTAAAAAACAGGTGGGTATTCTTACCACTGTCTTATCTCTCCTGCTGAGCTCTTTGTAGCTGGAATTAATAATTCCAGGTCTTTGTTCAACACTAGTTAAAATGATGTAGCTCTACGCTGTGATTTTGGGTAACACAGCATCTCCTCAGTTTTTCCTGTCTATTGGAAGCTTATCACTATTTGTCTCTCTGCTCTTCTGGAGCTATGTGTGCATGCTTGATGCTGGTGATGAGAGGCGGATTTTGGAAACCTCATTTTTTTCTCTCTACACACGGAGGTGACATGGCATTGCGGTGGTGGTCACATCCCCATATGATGAGAACAGGACTTCACAGTTGATGCTTTGTTAGAGCATGGCCCTAGTCTTGAAGGTTCTCACCAGTTGTGTGGACACAGTCAGAGCTCACATGGCAAGGAACAGGAGGCACTCCTAACGTACATTTTCACAATATGAAACATTTTTTATTTTGACACTTTTGTAGTGATGTTTTAGTGTCAGCTGAGCTGTACTGCGGAAATGAGAGTGAGTTTTCTGCCAACTCCTTGTTAACTTCGGGGAACAGTAAGAGACTGACTGGAAGATGCAAACAAGAGTAGCTTTACAATGACACCATCATCAGCACCTACCACCCTCATCTCTGCTCTGGCAGCACTTGCATTCTCCACACTGCTACAGGAGTTTTGATGTTGCCCAGGCACAGAGCACTTTGCAGAGCACTGCAGGAGTCACAGCTCTCTGGGAGTGAGCTGGCAATCTGCTCCTGAGGCAGCAGGCCTGGGCTGGAAACCTCCTCTTAGGGCCTGGGGACAGGAATGCATGATACACTCTCATCCTTTTTCTGTGAGAAGAATTGGGTTTCCAGCTGGATCAAGCAAAAATCTCATGCCCTCTCAGCCAAGCAGAACACCAAACAACTGAATTCAATGAAGGTACTTGTGGGACATGATGTGGAGTGTGAGAAAATACAAAATTGTACCTGTACATATCATAAAAAATTAACAGAAGAGTGATTACAACAAATGACAGCTTTTATTAGGAAATGTTTAAATCTGTCGGTTGGGTTATGCCTACCTCTGCATCCAGTCTTCCATGCTGTTACATGCTACAAATGTCAGATGTACAATTTTTCAAAAATTCAAGTGCACAGAGGTCATAGAGTTGACTGAAGAGCTGTTTGTTTTGCTCCTGGATATAGCTAATAGAAATTGGTTATCTGGTTCCTTTAAAAATGTACTAGGAATTCAGCTTTTCTTAGAACTCATTTCTCTTTTTAAGTGTGTAAATGTTATAGCTGAGAAAACTCTTTTTTGGACTATGTTCTTCAAATAGCCTGGGGGTTGTTCTCCAGAATATCTTTCTAGAGACTTATAAGACTTATTACAGAAAGATTATGCTCCCTCTGAGACAACTTGTTGCAGGCACAAAGTGGTTTTGTAGTTGCCTGAGGATTGTGCTATGTGTGTGACTTTTTTACTCAGGAGACTTGAGGAGAGAGGATATTTTGCAGAAAGAAATAGGTTTTGGAAGTTACCTATATTGAATAGCCGCTTTTTGTTTGTTTGTTTGTTTGTTTGCTTCTTAGTAAATAAGCAAATATTGATAGGCAGGAAATTGTGATGAAATCCAGCAGTGTTAGCTAAGAGGTAAAGCCTGTGTATGAGAGGTGATCATGTCTCAAAGCCACATTGTGTCTGATGAAGCAGTTACAGACCACATGAAGATGGAGGCAAAATTGCAGTTTTGCAATTTTTGCAATAAGAAATGAAACAATGGTTAGTTTTGGAAAGAAATGGCTTCATTAGCACCAGCTCATGGGTTAAGACTAACACACTTGCAGTGAGTAAAGAGAAGAATTAATTTGTTTCCAAGTGCAAAGAAAAATTAAATATTCTCATTTCACAGTGTCAGATGACAGCAAGATGTGTGATATGTAGAAATACTTCTCTCTTTTGAAGAAGAGAGAGAAGGTGATATCTTACATAAAGGATTATTTTAAAGAAATCTTACAGGAAAACCCAAGGCTCTTAGTGCAAATTATCTTTTGTTGTTTATCAAACATTTTCATTGATAGGAGATTATCTTCCTGGACTATTTGCAAGATTTGCACAGCTGCACTGCTTTCTATCCACATCAGTGCCCAGTGCTGGGTCTGGATGAGAACTGCAGGTTTCTCTTGGCACCTGGTCACTGTGGCTGTGAGTGCAGATCAAGAGGGCCCAAGGCCAGGCATGGCTGTGCCAGAGTGGAACACAGATGCACCTCCCACTTCGCACAGGCAGTGAGAGAAGGTCTGTGCTTAAATGGGCCCATGGGCAGAGCACATGTGTGGAAAACCCAGGTGGGGAAGGCCAAGGCCATTAAGGATTCTTAGTGCACTCAAGACATTGACAATTGGATCCAGCCTGTCCTGTAAATGTTTGCTTTAATATTCCATTGTGTGTCAGGTCTTGAAACTGTAAAAAATTGTGACCAAAGTTATTAGGCTTCTTGTGTGACTGTCCTGTAAACCTCCTTTAGCCATGTGGTCAATCCGAATAATCCCTCAGGCCCAAAAGAAGTTGCCAGCCCTCTTCAGGGATTTACCTGTTCCATAACATGCTGAAATGCAAACCTGATCAAACTGAAGACAAAAGTCAGATGTAGTGGCCAACTTCTTCCTGTTTCCTTTTCACATTTAGCTTGTAGTTTGTCCTTAACCTGAGAATACAACGATCCTGCATGTGGTTTTCTACTGTTTGATTTTCCACCCATTTCATGAGTATTCTCTTTCATGCTTCAAACAGCAGTGACTTTGATCCAGCTGGTAGTGAGGCTTTTAGTCCAGTCACACGTATGTAATACTCACACTAATACGCACCCACACACACCACAGCTGTACATGGCTGCCCAAACAGGTGGAAACACGCAACGTGTGACATGTGACAGAAAGATAAACAGCACCAGTGACCTTACAATGATCTATCTTAACTTCTGAAAGGCCTTTGACACGGTCCTACACAACAGTCTTGTCATTAAATTGGACATATGTGGGTTTGATGGATGGATATTCATTAGATAAGAAATTGGCTGGATGGATACATCCAAAGACTTACAGTCAATGGCTCAATGTCCAAATAGAGATCAGTAACAAGTGGTGTCCCTCAGGGGATGGGAACCGTTCAAAATCCTTATTATTGACATTGGTAGTGGGATTGAGTTCACCCTTGGAAAGTTTCCAGAGGACACCAAGCTCAGTGGTGCACCCACTGAGGGAAGAAATGCTATCCAGAGGAATTTTGACAGGCTTGAAAAATGAGCCTCACCTAATGAAGTTCAACAAGGTCAAGTGTAAGTTGCTGTACCTGGCTTAGGACAGCCATCAGAGTCAGCACAGACTGGAGGGTGCACGGCTTGAGAGCTGCCCTATGGAGAAAGACTTGGGCATACTGGTGGGACAAATTGGACATGAGCTAGCAATGTGCCCTTGCAGCCCAAAATGCTAACTTTGAGCTGAGTCTTCAAGTAGACCCCCTGACCTTACCACCTCTCCAGCAGCTGGCCTGGCCTCTCTTATCCCTCTGGTAGCCAGCTCCTCCAGTTACCTCATTCCCAAAGACACACACACAGACTTGGCTTCCAGGCCAATTAACTCACAGGATAATGAAGGTTGATCTACTGTAGCAATCACACACTGATAGGCAGACCCCTCACCCATTCCAGTTTTGTGGCAGGCTTTGTGAATCACAAAGCAGGGACATTACTCAGCATTTCCCAGCCCTGATAAGCCAGTAAAAGAGAAAGTTTGCCTGTCATTAGAAATAATTTACATTTTAGCAGTGCAATTAGCTCAAACTTGTAAATACAGACATAACTACTTGCAAAAAAATGCTCTTTAAGTTGGACTATTTAGAAAGGTGAACCAAATAAGTCTGATGTAAGAGTAAATTAAGAGCAATAATGAGTCTCATTAACATCTGCAATAAATAATCATGATTAAGTTCTGTCCTTTCTATAACCTTGCTCTGTCTGAAGGCGCTGATGAATTGAGGCTGTCAAACGGAACTGGCCCCTGCTCTGGGAGAGTGGAAGTAAAACATAAGGAGCAGTGGGGAACTGTGTGTGATGGTGACTGGACCATAAAGGATGCTGAGGTTGTCTGTAAGCAGCTACAATGTGGATTTGCTGTTAAGGCCCTTAATCGAGCTCCTTTTGGAGAAGGAACTGGACCAACGTGGTTGTACCGAGTTGATTGCCATGGTGATGAATCTGCTCTCTGGAACTGCACACATACAGGATGGGGTGCTTTTACCTGCCCTCATTACTTTGATATTGGAGTGATCTGCTCAGGTAAGAAGTGATCCAACCTTGTATAACAGAAGAAAAGATAAGAGCATGGGATCAAACTTTATCCTAGTTGGATAAAGCCAAGTACTCCCTCTACTCATCCAAAGCAAGTTGCCTCAGCATTAAGTCTTCTGCTGACTATGCAAGCTGACTTTGCCTGGGCACAGCAATAACACAGAATGAGCATATTTAATGACATATAACAGAAATATAAAAAGCACTATTTATTTCTACCACAGCTCTCCCAGGCAACAGGAGAGCAGTACTGAACTTGTCTTTGACCAGAAATGGGAGCTAAAAAAGCAGGTGTAGGTAGGGAAGCATGAAAGTGCAATGTTATGTCATGCAACTGCCCTTCTTCTCCAGATCTTCAGGTAAGCTAAGATAAGACAGTCTGCAATGGCAAAAAAAAGTCCAATATCTGTTTGGCTGCTTCCTGTGTATGATCATGGTTTTACTCTTTGGAAAAAGAACCACTGAAAGAAGTTTTTCCTTCCCAGCTTCAGGACTTTACATTTGTCCTTTTTAGATTTTTGTAAGGTTCTTATCAGCCCATAGTTCTAGCCTGTCTAGATCTCTCTGAATGGCAGCTCTGCCCTCGTGGTTATCTCTCCCCACCCCCCCACCCCCCATAAAAAAGTGATATTGTACTTGCTGATAGTCTTCAGGTAGAGTGAAACTCACTAATTACCGAGCATGGCCATTCAATCAGTTGCTTAACCATGTTGTCCTTCCAGCCAAGAACATCCTAGTTTTTGGACATAAGAATATTGTGCAAGACAGTGTTAATGGCAGTGCTAAATGTGAGGTAAATGTGAGGTAAATGTGAGGACGTGCTGCTGCCCCCTCATCCATAAATCCATTTTAATCAGAGAAAACAATACAGTCCCACAGGCATGATATACACTTGATATAACCATGCTGACTCTTCCCATTCATCTCCTTGTGCCTGCAAATGAGTTCCTAGAAATCTCACTCTATTTTTTGCAAGTACCAAAGTGAGGCTGGCCAGCCTGTAGATCTCCAGACTGTCTTTTTAGCAATTTCTGAAACTGGGTGCAACATTTCCTGTGTCCCCTTCCTATGGTGCTTCAGCTTCCTGTCCATTGAAATAATGAAGTCTCAAGGACACACACTAGTAAATAGCTATTTGCCTATTTATCTGTTTGGGGATTGCTACTTCTCAGTCATTGGCAGATGTTCAAAGCTTCCTTCCTTCTTTCCCAAGGATTCAGTATTTTCAGTTACTGAGAAATAAGCAATTTCATACACCATTTTCTTTTTTATCAGTGTTACACAGGAATTTCCCCACTCACAATTCAGAAGTATCAGTGGTCCTCAGAGAAGTGAAATGTGTCTTGCCCATTAAGGTACAGGAGCTGTGAAAATAGACCAGTACAACCAAACCTTGATGCTGGACTTCTTGTTTTTTGGATTTTTTCCAGGTTTCTCTGATCTGCGTCTGACTGGAGGGGGCACTGCCTGCTCAGGACATCTGAAAGTAAAGCAAGAGGAAACTTGGGCCACTGTCTGTTTCTCACACATTAATTTCAAAACTGCCTCTGTTATATGTAATGAGTTAGAGTGTGGCCAGGCTGTGGATACCTTGAGAGGAACTCACTTTGGAGACAGGCATGAACTGATCTGGCAAGAAGAGTTTCACTGTGAAGGGAATGAGACTCACCTTGCAGACTGTCCCAGGAACATACATCGTACTAACACATGCTCTCATGATGCCTCTATTGTGTGTTCAGGTGAGACTTTGGACTGACAGACATAATTCACCCGTGTCCTATATGCCTTCTTCCTGTTAACCCACAGTTCAGAGCATCTGTACACTTCTGTGGTCCTCAGGATCCTTGGATGCTTCCCCTACCGTGCCTTGAGCCATTCAAGGGGAAACAGAAAATAACAGAGTAGTCCCACAATGTCTCATTCACTCTACTGAGAGTCTGCATCTAAAATGCACTGTTCTAATCACTTCACTACCACACAGAGATTTCAAAAGGGCTGTTATTTATTTTCTGCTATTAGAATTATGAACCAAACAGACCTAAGAATGCTCTACACATCCTTCTCTTATAAATAAAAGGAAAAATGGCCAAAGGAGACAAGCAGGAATATTGAGACATTAATTTATTTCCTGTGGTGCCAGGGTCTATGTTAATACCTGGCACTTCAGTTAATTACAAAACTGGAAGATGTACCATATCTCCAAAAGGTTGAAGGAGGCACAAGTTACAAATGTAAGTAATTAAAAAGTAAAAAAAGGTTGCCAGAGGCCTAGATGACTTCCATTGTGACTGGAAGGTAGCATTACTTAAGAACTCTCTACAGTCATGGCTGCTGGGGGCTCTGAATACAACTATGTATGGCCATCCACTGAAAAAGTGATTATTAGGCCTAACAAACATAACTTTTTTCCTGAGACCACAGTTCTAAAGGAGTAAACTAAATGTGGGGCAGAGCTGCTGGCAACAGTCTGACACAAAACGAGTCTGGAAATGTGTTGGAGTCCATGTCCAAAGGGCTTCAGTCTGGTTCAAGACTGCCTTGGACACTGTGACCAGTGGCAGCCAAACACCTCAGTTAAGGCATCCAACAGGCCTTGGCTCCTGCCTCTATCTTGCAAGAGTCTTAGCTCAGAGCTGAAATCCTGGGCTCGTTTGAGGTACAATGCAAGGGCAAGGTAAGGGTAAAAAGTAACAGTATGAGAAGACAGGGACTGCATGGGGCTGGCAGTAGGACACCACAGTGCCATCCATTCCGCCCTTAATTTATTATCAATACTGATAGTTATGGCCTGTGGTATTAAGAACCTTGTTCTGGGGCATGGATGAAAGCTGAGAATTCCTCACTGCAATTTCTTTTTACCAGGAAATGTGACATGACTAACTACTGTGAGAGTGATACCACTTGCCCCTACTCTGAGTTCCTCATATGCAAGGCAGGGCAGAAACTGTCTCTCCAAGAGATGTTGAAGGTGGCAGCAGTATTGTGAGGGGAGGAGAGAACAGAGCAAAGAGGAGACACTGAATTTAAAGAGACAAAAGACTTTTAGTCATACAATGCAGGCTACAACATGGACAATAGAGACTTTTTCAGAGCTGGCTTATCAGCATCCTGTTCTAAGATGCCTTCCAGTAAACTGTCACATTACTCAGTGCTAGTTTCTTGCAGATAGAGAGAGCTCTTACAGTTTTCAGTGCAATAGCATGATACCCAAAAGTAACTGCTAAGCTCTTTTATTCTTTCTGCAGGCTACGGTGGGTACAGGCTGGCAAATGGCAGTACCACATGCTCAGGGAGAGTAGAGCTTCTTCATGGAGGCACATGGGGAACGCTGTGTGACTACACATGGGATTTACCAGCTGCCAATATCCTCTGCCAGCATCTAGACTGTGGAGTTGCACTACTGATACCAAGTGGATGGTCCTTTGGGGAAGGAAATGGATCTGTTTGGAACGGCACATTCAGCTGCCAGGAGAATGGCTCGCTCCTGAGAGACTGTCCCGTGCGCGCTCTAGGTCATGATGAATGCCCTGCTGGAAAAGAGGCTCGTGTTGTCTGTTCAGGTGAGCAGTGGAAAGGTATAAGAAGGGAACTGAAAAACTCCTTCCTTGAGGAAAAATACGGACTCAAAATTCAGAGGGCATACGTGGAGTCAGGCTCTGTCCTTTGCTGCAACAGGGGTCAAGGCTGCACTTCAGCTGTACCACAAGGCTGCTGTCTCTGAAATGCTCCTAGTGTCAGGTGACAGCAAGAGCAGGGCTGCTGCACAAGCCAGGATGAGCTGGGCACAGAGGCTGAGCACAGCACAGGCAAAGTCCTTGCCACCAAGACACAATCCAAAGCATCTGCACAGAGGACAGAGGAAGGTACTGGTGGTAAGGTGCCAGACAAGTCAAAGAAAACAAAGAGATGCAGGGTCTGGCTGGAGGGAGTAGCCAGGCATGGCATGAGACAAGACTGGAGACGGTTACTCCTGTCATGTACTTGAGGCAAGGACTGAATCCCTGATCCAGGTTTAAGTGAGGGCTTGGACCAGCAGTTGAAGGATGCAGAGCTGTAGGCCCTCAGTCATATTGATCTGAAAAATTAAGGTCTATTGGTTGACCCTAAGCCCCAAAACCTAGTGCCCTAATTTTAAAAATTGCAAATGGGACCAGATTCCAAGTTCTAGTAATACTACTCAGTAAAATAGGCTGGACTGAAGTCTAGGTATGAGTATGGAAGTTTCTAGTTATGAGTATGGCCCAGTTAAGCCATTTTTACTACTGAATGATAAGAAAAACTCATTCCCATTTCCCAGTCGCTTCCAAGTCCTCCCCTTGAGCAGCTGCAAATGTAATACTCCAATAATCCCTTTCTCTTACATTCAGGGTGTCCAGGGGGCAGGTTAGTGAATGGCACCACATGCTCTGGCATAGTGGAGATCCGCCATGGAGACACATGGGGAAGACTCTGCCACTCCCACTGGAATTTGCAAGCTGCCAGTGTTCTCTGCCATCAGCTGAACTGTGGATATGCAAAGTCAATCCAGATGGAAGATGGTTTTGTGGAAGGAAATGGGACTATGTGGAGAGATGCTTTTCACTGTGAAGGGACAGAATCCTGCCTATGGGATTGTACTCAAGTGACTTTGGGTAATCCAACCTGTTCAGCCAAAGAGGCAGCCACTGTAACTTGCTCAGGTAAGTCAGAAGCGGCCTTTTAAGGGTAGTGCAACTTCAGACCAAAGCAGTGCTGATGACCTCACTGATAGGATCTAGTCTTTGAGATGGAGAAGCCTTTCTTGCTTCCCATTGTAGGCCCTTGTGTGCACAAAAACAAACAAAGCCTTAACAGGGACATTCTCCTTAATCATTGGTGAGAATTAATATTTCACCAGCGCAGAAATTTGTCTTCCATAACTTTCCTGCAGGTTATTTCTGTTGCAGTGAGATCAGTAGATGTTACTCAATATATTTCCCAACTCTCTTGAGCCCAGGTCTTGCTGAATCACTCAGACTCTCAGGGGGTGAGAGCCGCTGTGATGGGCGAGTTGAGATCTCCCTCCATGGTGCGTGGAGCAGAGTCCTGGATGATGACTGGGACATTAAGGATGCCCATGTGGTGTGCAGACAGCTCCAGTGTGGAACTGCTGAGAAAGCCTATTACCTTCCAAAGTCTGAGCGAGGTATGGGTGTTGTTGGCCTAAGGAGTGTCCAGTGTACTGGAAACGAGACTCAGCTGATGCTCTGCAACACCTCCCATTATCAGACAGAGCCAATGGGAGTTTCTGAAGATGTTGGTGTGATTTGTTCAGGTGAGTTGCTGTGTGAAAGATACAGAATGTTTCCTAGGGTTTATCCAGCCCACATTGTGCTGTGGCATCACAGATCTTAAGTCGGCATGAGTCTGACCTTGATGATAGTTAAGGAAGCAAATGTAATTTACATAATGCTTTCTTCATCTGAATTTCTTACAGAATTATCTTCCAGAGTCAAAAAGAACTATTAGAACACAGAAGCCATAAGAACACTAATTTCACTATGATTGCCAAGCATTCTTACTGCCACTTGAGAATTAAATAGCTTTTATCTTGTGACATTTCTATATTTATAGATACTTGCAGCTATTCTACAAAATATTACAACAGTTTCTACTCTTTCACCGGGTGCAGGAGTAGGCCTTTCCCTTAATGCAGTTTTAGCCTCAGAGGACTTCTGCCCAAGCAACCATAGCAGTAGAATTGGGATATAACAAGAACATGATGTCTTAAAAGTGCTTTAAAAATATTGCCATTATTATGCTTATTATTATGCAATTATTATTATTGCTGACCTGTGCATTATAGTTGTGTTGCATGTTGACAGCTGGATTTTCTTCCCACAGGCAGCAGACAGATGAGGTTGGTGAATGGAACAAACCGCTGTGCTGGGAGAGTAGAGCTTTATCATCATGGCATCTGGGGCACCATCTGTGATGATAACTGGGATCTATCAGATGCCAATGTCATTTGCAAACAGCTTGGATGTGGGCATGCCATTGAGGCATTTGTCTCTGCTCATTATGGTGAAGGGTCAGGGCAGATCTGGATGGATGATGTGAATTGCACTGGGGCTGAATCTGATCTCTGGGCATGCCCCTCTAGGGCATGGGGCCAGCACAACTGCCAACACAAAGAGGATGCTGGAGTCCTCTGCTCAGGTGTGTTTGGAAAACACTTTTCTAAGCCTTTGGGTTCAAACAGGAGGGTTGTATAAAAAGGAAGCAGAGAATAGTGGGGACTTGCTTGGACAGCCTCTTCCTGTCTTGATGACAAGTCATCTTCTTGGGCCTACCAAGATGCAAAGGACCTACAGAAGCCCATATTATGCACCAACACACACGCACACACACAAAAGTGTGCAGTGTGGTAGAATATTTGGGGGATAAATTTGAGGAGTTTGTAAAGATTTCCACAGCAAGGAGCTGTGTGCTTGTTACAGTCAGTTACAGCTGGCTCTGAAACCAATGGGAGCAGCCCACTGTGCACCACAGCATCAGACAATCCAAGTAGCTTATGGTGGCTCTGCTCACATATTTAAGACAGAATGACAGCAGCAAGAGAGAGGAGAAATGAAAGAGAAGTGAAAAAAAATACTGATGACCCCTGAGGGAAGTGCAGACTGTTAGGGCCCACGTTGGAGCCAGTAGAAGCCCTGAAAGGACTGCAGCCTCTGGAGCATCCATGCTCCACAATACAGGTAGAACCAGTACAGGTAGTTAGCACTGTAAAAAAAAAAAAAAAAAAGTGTTATTACACAGGCAGGAAAGCAACATATCACAAGAAGTTTGTGGCCATTTTTATGTTTTCACTTTCAGATTTCCTGGCTCTGAGGCTGGCGAATGGCAACGACTGTGCTGGACGTGTAGAAGTTTTCTACAACGGGACGTGGGGGAGCGTTTGTTCCAATAGCATGTCCCAGCTCACTGCAGTAACCATGTGCAAACACCTGGGCTGTGGAGATGGAGGAGCAATAGCCACGGACTTCAAATACGGCAGAGGGTCTGGGCCCACGTGGCTGGACCACATTGAGTGCACTGAGCAGCACAGCTCGCTCTGGCAATGTCAGTCAGACCCCTGGGATCCTCAGTCGTGCAATAACCGAGCTGAAGAGACCCACATTACTTGCACTGGTAATCAGAAATGCATTTGTGTATGGCCAGACATGTACATTAACCTGTGCATACACATAAGGACGTCACAGTAATTACTTTGTGTTCACTTTTTATTTAGTGTGTATGATTCTAACTTATACACATAGCCATGGACAAGTGTACAAATCAGTTTGGTTCTAAAGGTCCATTTCTAGTGCCTGCCCTTTTGACAGTATTTCACACCTATGGATATCAATATCTGTAGTCATATATATATTCACTATAATAAAAATTAATTCTACATGACATTCATATATCCTGAAAGTGATTGCAGCTGCCTTATGAGAAGAAGGAAATCATAACCATCAGGAAGATTATTACTCACAGCAACACCAAACAGACATCCACCAAGAACTAAACAGGCCATACACATATTTCAGGAAATAATTAACCTGATGGTTAATTTTCAGGTATCTTATACTCCCTCATTTTTTTTTTCAGAAAATAATTAAATTACTTCATTATTTAAATTCTGCAGGAAGAAAGGAGGCAATATCTCCATCTGCATTTGCTGAGTGTCCAAACTCTACAAGTTGTTCAGGTACCTCCACCTCTTTGTTTTTCCTTATTGGCCCCTGTGGAACTTCCTGCTGTTTCAGTAAAACAGAAGGTTTCTGTGTTTTGCAGACAGGGAGAAGTTACGAGTCGTGGGAGGGGAGGATGAATGTTCAGGCAGAGTGGAGATGTGGCACCAAGGATCCTGGGGAACAATCTGTGATGACACCTGGGACGTGGCAGATGCCCATGTTGTATGCAGGCAGCTGGGCTGTGGATCTGGTGTGTCTGCTCTGAGTGAGGCTGCCTTTGGGGAAGGGACTGGTCCCATCTGGTTGGAGAAGGTGCACTGTAAAGGAACAGAGCTGTCTCTTTGGGACTGTCCTGCCAAGCCTTTGTTTGGTAAAAACTGTGATCATAAGGAAGATGCTGCTGTGAATTGCTCTGGTTAGTGACTAGTCCTTTATTACACAGGTCTGGGAAGGAGGTGGGTAGGGGAGCATCATGCCAGCTGTGCTTCCCGGTGACTAGCCCTTTCATAATTTTGACTGCAAAAACATCACAAATTACATGAAAATATAATTTTCACACTTGCCTTTTCCTTAATCTGGACTCACCTTCCTTTTTCAGGCGTGACAAAAACAACAGCACCACCCACAAGAGCAGGTAAATTCTTTATCTCTCTTTCTCCCATCAAATGACAATTTAATGTCCCTAATACTTATCAGATGAAACAGCAGCTTATTTTAGCTCATCAGAAAGCACTTCCCTCAGCCTTTCATAAAGGAACACTGAGTGGCACCACCCCTAGCTGCTGAATTTTATCTGCTTGAGCTGGACCCGTAACAGAGCAGCAGGTGCCCTGCCTCTCCCTGCTAGCGTGGGCACAGCAAGGGGCTTCACTATGGGACACGTGATTCTCTACCTGTTTCCTCTTTGTTTCCATTCAGATCGTCCCCGCCGCCCTGCCACAGGCAGTACAAGACTTTCAGTACCTGTCATCCTCTGCATTATCCTGGGGACCCTTCTCTGCCTGGTCCTTGCCATTCTTGCTGGGCAGATCCGACGTGCTAGGGCACAGCAGAGAGGTGGGTCTCTCAGCAAGACTGGTATGAAATGACTCCTTTACAGGGCCCAAATGTTTAGTTGGCTGGAGAGGCAGTGGGGATGGGTAACTGAGATGAACTGCATCTTCTGCCACACTGAGATTTTTCACTTACTTTCTGGCAGTGAAAGAGCCCAGCGGTGCTTATCCTCAGTCAGCACCTCTGAGTGCCTTTCTAGGTATCAACCAGGCTATGTAGACCTAGGTAAGGCACTTCTTTTCATGGCCCCAGCCTGAGTAGTATGATCAGAGACTGTTAAAGTGATCATTACCTTTTACTTTCAGGCTACAGACTATCCTATGACCCCTTCTCCGAGGCTGTCTATGAAGAGATTGATTATAACCTGATGAAGGAAAAGCAGGGCGTGACTTTCCTATCAGGTCTGTGTCTTTGTGTCTTGCTTTCCTCAAGGGAAAGCTCCTCCTTTCTGATCCCGATCTGATTCTTTGCAGCTTTCAAATCTACTGGGAAATTTAAAATTCCTGGATTTGAGGAGAGGAGTTTCCTGCCCAGTGGAGTCTGTCAATTCCTTTCCTAGGGACAATTTGTTTTGTGGAGTCCTCACTGCAGCCACAGACCATAGATCAGTATAGGTGAAACAAACAAAAGCCTTTTTCTGCAATTATTTAAAGCAGAGACAAATAAAGGAATAATTTGCATCTCCCTCACAGCAGCTGGGTCCCTGTAGGTTTCCTTCCATGGATTGACTTTCTCCCTTTGTGGTTTGTCTCCCCCATGATCCATGATAGGTGTTAGAGAGCCCCTGAAGGTTATTCCATTGTATCCTTGCAGAAGTAATACTGACTGCTAAAGAATATGAAGGGCTTGGATTCTGTTACTGTAGAGTGCTCTTTTTCCCATGGTGCAGTCTTAGCACTTAAGGAGAATTTAATCTGGTATCATACTCTTTCTCATTTGCCTAGATTCTTATTCAGAGAGCTCAAAATCGAAGGAACAGTTTTATAGAGCAGATAGTGATGAAGAAAATGGTCCTGGGGCAACTCAAGGTAATGTGAGAAAGGGTTTGTACAGAGAAAGAGATCCCAAATCAGGGTAACATTTAATATCCAAAGCATTATGAGTGATTAAGACTTTCATTTCATGTCCTAGTGATGTTTCCTTGTGATCCAATATCTTCTGTGTAACTCTTGTGGTGGAAGAGTGTCATACAATCTCATATACAAGTGCTAGTTTTCTCTTCTATATGAGAAATTCAAAATAAATGTTTGCTGGTAGTTCTGCACACACCTCACAGGATCCAGTCACATGAATCCAACAATCCAACTGCTTCTCCCAGACATTGCAACCATAATAGCTTGTAAATTGTTGCCTTATTTCCAAGTCAAACAGGGAGAATTAAAACAGAGGAAAGACATATTCCAAATAAGAACTCTAGTGGTGCAATTTGAGCTGATCAAGGAATATCAATCCAAGTGATCTGGAGAAAATACAGATTCCTAGCTGTGGGGTTTGCCTGGGGAGTACATTTGGTGTGTTGGCTGGTTTGGGTTTTTTTGTACTTTGAAAGAGGTAAGGGAGAGCAAGTGTTTGGAGAAGAACTGCATTTTCCTAGAGCTGATCAAAAAGCTCTGTTAACTATTACCTCATGCCCAAGAGATCAACTGCCAAAGGCACAAGAAGTTTTGGACCCCAGTTGCCCATATCCCAGACTCTGCTGCACCATGTCTTTATTTTCTACTTATTTTCTTATATTAAGGACTTTTTTTAGTTAAAAAAGCTTTTCCTTACTTGCTTTGAAGTGCTTACACAGAAGACAATTCTAAATAATTTCTCTTTATCTTATTCAGATTGAATATTGATTTCTTGGTAAAAGGTGAAACAGGAATGTTTTGATTAACTTTTATGTTTATACATGTATTATTGGTAAGTATATGTATAAACAATAAAACTGTGCACACTAACATTGCTGAGGGATGGATTCCAGCTAAGTACAGACATGTCAGTATTACAGCCCTGTGTTGCTGGATCATCAGCTACTGCTTTCCCTAGTGGAAGTTAATACCTGTACTGTTCCAGAGACCCCTTCACTGCCTGAAAAAGCCCTGGAAGATGCTTATGATGATGCAACAGAAGCTCCTGGACCTAGAGATGCTTCTCTTTCTGGGCAGAATGAACAGGAAATCATTGGTAACGCTGGAGAAAGTGACAGAAACAAGGATTCACAGACAGGTGAGGCTAGAAGAGTAGTGCTGTTCTGTTCTTACAGCCAGCTAATCTATACCCATGCTCTGCTTTCCTTACATCCATAAAATTCCTGCCTGTGGCCAACCTAGCCTAAGTTTCCACTGCTGTGAATTGTTACTTCTCATTAGCATGACCATGGGGACAGAGGGTAGCAGTCATCTTTTTAACAGCCTTTTAAGTACCTGAAGACTGATAACAGTTTGTTCACATATCTGTCCCCAGTCTTGTTTTGTATTTTGTTTCTCTAGACAGCCACAACCTCAATTAGTCAACTTTCTACTTAGGCCTTGTAGACTACAGTCTGCTCATGATGTATCTCTAATCAGTCTGTGTCAGTTGGTCTGCATCTTTCAAAATTGTTTGAAACCCAAAATTTTCCAGTATTTCTTTACAGCATTACCATGCTGAGATCTTACTAGTGTCAGGTAAAGCAGAAGGACCAGCTCTTATTTCTTACAGCATATCCTTCTGTTTATGTATGCCAGTGTGATACTTCCCTCTTTTCCAACAACATGGCAGGCTTGAAAGGGCTCAATGTCTGATGCAGCTTCAAATTGTGCTCTGTAAAATACTACATATCATGAGACATGGATTTTTCAAATTATGCAATTGACTGTTTCTCCCTTCATCTGTAGTCTCTTAAATGTCCTTAATAGATATCATTCTATGTCCATGGAGAATGGATTCAGCTAGGTTTTTAACCTGGCATTAAAATTTGTCAGGCCCATATAATTCAGTAAGAATTAACAATAAATATTTAAGACAGACTTCTTTATCAGTGCATTTAATATTACTGTGGAACACCTGATCTGAACTCTACTTTTTGGGGTAGTAATAAATATTTCTGGCTAAATTGAGATGTGGAAAAATAATCAAAACATAGGACTCAAAGTAACTAGGGAGACATTAGAGATTTTTTTTTTTTTAGCAGCCCATGAACATATTCCTTTTAACACTGTGTATAAAGCTTGATCCTTGGATATGTATACAAGCAGCAGAAGGCAGAGTGATACGGGCATTTCTCAGGTCTTTCACAGCCACTCCTATCTAAGGTTCTAATTGCTGGAGGAGACAACTGGCAGCTGCACGACCACACAGAGGTAACATGTAGAGGATGCCCATTTATCTATCTTTGTGTTCTTCCCTTCATGCTTTCAGACTGGATTCCCAGAAGCAGGACCTCTGAAGCTGAGAGACCCTCATCCACTGCTCTTGAAGATACGAGCTATGATGACATTGAAGATCTGGGGCCCTGATAGAGACTGCTGAACTGTGCTGACTTCTTCTGGAAATACACCACTGTTCATAAAATGCTAATCCTGTACTAGCAGAACCAGAACAACCTGCATTTAGGATTAGTTTGCATAAGTTCGGGATATTTCCAGAGAAGAGATTACATACATAAAAAATAAACAAGCATGGCTGTTAAGAAAATATTTCAAATTTCTCTTATAATTTGTTGTTGCTAAGACTTAGTGGACACTTTTTGCTTTTATTCTCAAATACCTTATTTTTATTTTTTTTTTCTGAGTTAATTTTTAAAATTATGATTTATGTTTTTTTATTAGAAACTGATCCAAAGATCTCAAATTATGCTTTTCCTTCTGGATATATGGGGACAGCTTTTGGGAATTACTCAGAATGGAGACTGAACTGCCAGAAAATCATCAAAATTCTGTTTAAGCCAAGTCTTTCAGAAAGGAATTCTCGCTGATTGCTTCTGCAGCAACATCAACAAGATCTGACAGGTGTGCTGCAGGCATGCTGCGGGCAGAGGGAGGGAAACACATACACCCATGGGATTTAACTGCATCATGCGATCTACTTTTCCTGCCCCACTAACAGGAAAACTCGGGAAACAGAAAGTTCTTGCAAAGAATAGGAAAAGACAGCAGAAACCAGCAGGGGCAACCAATTCTGTGCCAGAAAAAGGTGTAGCAAGCTATTTATCCCTGTCAGATCTATCTACACAGGACAGAACTTCTCCTCTCCAGGTGCACCAGGCAGTGACCAGGAAGAAGGAATCCCTAGGGACTCAGAGATGGCAACAACTGATGCCGTAGGCATGATCCAGTTAAACTGAGTGCTCCCCAGGTGACTGGGGTATATAATCCTCAGTGTGATTGAGTAAGTGGGATACTGGGAATGTGTTAAAATTTGTAGCCAAACTCCTACAGAATTCTGCCTGCACCTGAATGGCACCTGCACAAGGAAATTTTTAGGATAATTGGAGTAATTGGATTAAAAGCATATTAACAATACAAGATTAATAAAAGATGTAAACTGGCTTAACTGTGGGATCTATCAGGAAAAGTTTCTCTTCTAAGGCATGAAAATAGATGCATACAGGATGAAACCCAAGAGAATCAGGCTACAGCTGAGCTCATTACAAATCCATCTTTCAAACTTTTGGAAAAAAACAGGTACGAAAGGAAGTTGTTTGTGAGTGGGGTTACAGGCAACAGCGCTTGTTGCAGACTGTGTAGCCAGCTGTGTTGGAGTCACCTCTGTGTGTACATGTGTATCTCTCTGGGACACACACTCAGCCTCTCCACTGGCTGAACCAGAACTCGGGAAAGCAGCAGTCACATCCTCAGGCTCCAGTGGCCTGAAGAGAGGAGCCCACAGACCCCAGAGGATGCCGGAGGCATTGACTTATTGCAACTCTTTGAAGTCACACTCTGCACTATTTTTGACCCTTTGAAGAAAATGTAAGGGAGGATTTCCCGTTGGAGAAACCCTACCAATTCTCCTAACTAGAATTTTTATTCAGTCACTCATTCGTTCTTTTTTGCTACCAATATGCTTGGTAAGGACTTCACTTAACACTTAAGTTTCTCACCTCTCTCCCAAATACTTTCTTAACGATTGACCCACTGCCCGGTGCTCAGGTGTTAAAAAAATACTTCAGTGAGGGGTCACAAACTTTGTTGACCTTTCAGGTTTTTCATTCTTGAGTTAAACTTACTCGTGATTCAGAAATCTGCTTTGCTTTTAAAAAAAAAATAAAAATCAAGATTACAGCCAAAGGAGGGGTCCAGGAGCACGTTCCAGATCACGTCCAACATAAAGCGTTCCACTGCACCGGGGAAGGAGCCGTGGCAGAACGAGAGCGTCTGGGG